TCCAGCTTAATTACATTTATGGTGCTTTGAGTTCTCCATAAAGCACCACTGATTCACTAAAATACAAATTTTGATGACCAACAAATCAAAAGTTTGTTTTTCAGCTCGTCGGGTTTGAACAGAACATTTCTGGTTTCCCTGCTCACACGTGTAGCTGAGACGTCTCAGATCATTAGATTTGGATCACAAATAATCAGCAGTGTTGAGTTTTGCCCGTGTATGGTTTTAAAGAGAACGTTTCTCCTCCTGTGTCAGCGTGACATGATTTGTGGTTATGTCTTAGCTTGCTGTACTTTTGTTTTTTCCTGCCCATACCTGCACATATTCCAGGGATTAACGCAGTAGTCGTAGGATTAGTTGCTGGGCTTGTTTTTCTGTAGCTTGAACTAAATTTCTTACTTCCTTTATTTTTTTTTCTTTGTGTATTAAGAAAGTAAAGTTTCATGGATGAATGGAGCAGTGTATGGACGGAAGATAACGCAGTCCTGTTGCTCATTATTGTGTAACTGCTCACCAAGAATTTTCGTTTCTGGCTTGTTGAAATTTGAGCTCAGTGGTATTTGTTCTTGTTTTTTACGGCTCTTATATCCACAGACACCTACACCCTCAGGGTTAATTGATTAGTCGACAACAGAGGAGTGAAAAAGTAGCAATTGTAACGACTCATTTAACAATCACTAAGCAAAAATATCATCCCAGCTCTTTGAGTGTTAGGCGAGCAGTCATTTTCATCCTGTTACTCTTTGTTTTCCTGCTCGTTTGGCTATAAAAGGTTCGATCTCTACAAATAATCTGCTTAATCGATTTACCAAACAAGCCGATAACAAATATTTCGTCAATACATCAGCGTTTGTTCATGGAACAAATCCCAATTTTTTATTTTCATCTTGTGGTTAGTTATATTTCTGCTGTGTTTTCTTATTGATCTGCCAACAATATTGATGATTCATTGATTTGTTAGACGACTATAAGTTAATTTTTCATTTCCTGACTAAACACATTAACAATTTTTCAGCTGAGCTTCCAAAAAATATAATTTTTGATAAATTAATCCAGATTTTATTTTTTAAAATAATAAATACAAAATAAGTTTGGCTCCAGCTCTCAGATGTGAATATTTACTGATATTTGTTCCAGTTTTATTACATATTAAAGGTCATGCCTGAGGTTTAATTAACTGTCACTTTTATTACACTTTTATTTACACGTATAATGTTTAAAAAAGCTGATTATTGTG